CACCGCTAGTGGGTTTGAATCCTGCGTCGGGTTCTGTGATGACAAATCAGAGCCTAGAGCCTGCTTCTGATTCTGTCTCCCGCTCTCTCTCTGCCCCTCCCCCACTCGCACTCTATCTTTCTCTCAAAAATGAATACATGTTAAAGAAAATTTATGCTGATGCATAAGGGCACATGTACCCCAATGTTCACAGCAGCACTCTCAACAATAGCTAAAACATGGAAAGAGCCTAAGTGTCCGTCAACTGACGAATGGATCACGAAGATGTGGCTTCTATACAATGAAATGAGAAACAATGAAATCTGGCCATGTGTAGCAATGCAGATGGAACTTGAGGATGTTATGCTGAGTGAAATAAGTCAGGCAGAGAGAGACAGATACCATATGTTTGCACGTATAGGTGGATTAGGAGGAACTTAACAGAGGACCATGGGGGAGAAGAAGGGGAAAAAATAGTTGGGGAGAGGGAGAGAGGCAAACCTCTCATGAGAGACTCTTGAATGCCAGAACAAACTGAGGACTGATGGGGGTGAGGGGGAGGGAAAGGGGGTGATGGGCATGGAGGAGGGCACTTGTTGGGATGAGCACTGGGTGTTATATGGAAACCAACTTGACAATAAACTATTTAAGAAAAAAAAAAGAAATTTTAGGGGGAAAAAACCTTTCCCATGGCTCCCCAGTGCCTTCTGAATGAAGCTCAAATTCCTCAGCATAGCATAGCATGTGAGACCTTTCATGATCTTCCACTCACACCTGCCTGGAACTCTATATCCAGCTTCTTGAACCATGTACAGTCTCAAATACGCCCCTGGGCCCTCTCAGGATAGGGCTTTTGCACAAGCTGGGCCTTCTGCCTAGAAGACACTCTCATCCAACCAAATCTCCCTTTACCTTGCTAACCCCTATTGCCCTTCAGGTCTTGGCTTTGACTTGGATATCACGTCTGCTGGGAAGCCTTCCTTGTCCGCTCTGGACTTCAGGAAATGGCCCCATTTGGGTACTGGGTCAGTGTACCTGGGTGAATGCAGTTTTCTGCAGCCCTGGCCCCAGCCCAGTGGTGGCAGGGATGACAGTCACTAACGAATGGGCCCTACGGAGAGCAGCAATCTCAGGGGAAAGAGTTAGGGTCATAGCACTACTACCAAAAGATTTTCTTTCCAACAGAAGCCTAGAAGGGTCTAGTTTACTTTCGGTAAGAAGGGCAGCATACCCACCCCATCCCCAGCCCCTGGAACTGCCCAAGTCCTCCTGCGTCGTGTCTCTTCCTCCACCATACTCGGTGTGAAGGTGCTCCTATCTTTTCTGAGCTCTTCTGTACTCTTAATATTCCCTGCTCCTTCTCTTCTGTTCCATCTCTTCTTTTTCCCAAAACAAACAAACTTGAGATTTTTCTACATTTAAAACAAAACCAACAAAAATCCCCTTCCATCAGGACTGGATCCCCTAGAGGCTACCATCTCTTATTTTCCTTCTTCACAGGTAAACTTACTGATAAAAGTACACGATTTTTGCTAGGTTTTTTAATTTAACTTGTTAAATCCAAAGACCTGTTCTTAGTATTTGTCTAAACCTGAGCTCTCTTTAGCATCTGACACTGCTGACACTCCACACAACATCCCCTTTCTTAGAAAAACTTCTGGGATGCCTGGGTGGCTTAGTCGGTTAAGCGTCAGACTTTCGCTTAGGTCATGATCTCACAGTTCGTGGGTTTGAGCCCCGCGTCGGGCTCTGTGCTGACTGCCAGCTCAGGGCCTGGAGCCTGTTTCAGAGTCTGTGTCTCCCTCTCTCTCTGACCCTTCCCTGCTCACGCTGTCTCTCTCTCTCGCCTAGAAATAAATAAAACATTAAAAAAATTAAAAAAAAGAAAAAGAAAAAGAAAAACTTCTCATGCTTTCAAAGTCCTACGTGTCTCAAGGTTTTTTCCCTTACCCTTCCTTAATTATTCTTCCTCTTTGGCCAGCTCCTTTTTCTCTGCCTGTCTTTTGTTCCTGGGAGCCACGTAAAAATACCTATCAAAACATGTACACTTGATCAAAAGATATATCAAACCAATTACAATGTACGGAAATTATTTGGATCCTGATTGGCACAAACTTAAAAAAACACTGGACAGCGGCACCTGGGTAGCTCGGTCAGTTAAGTGTTCGACTCTTGATTTCAGTTCAGGTCATGATCTCATGGTTTTTGAGTTCGAGTTTGAGTTGCGAGTTGTGAGTTGAGTTTGTCAGCACGAAGCCTGCTTGGGATTCTCTCTCTCTCTCTCTGCCCCTTCCCTGCTCACCCGTGCTCTCTTTCAAAATAAATAAATAAACTTAAAAAAAAACTGGACAAGAGTAGATACCTGAATACAAACTGAGTACATGAGCTATAAAGAGATTACCATTTATATTTGTAAGTGCATAAACAGTAAGGTTTTTTGTTAAGAGAGTACTTATTTTTTGAGATACATACTGAGATATTTATAGATGAAATGATATGATGTCTGGGATTTGCTTAAAGACAATCCAGAGATGGAGTAGATGGGGTGTGGATGATATGAAGTTGACCTTAATTTGGTGACTGTGGATGCTGCCTCATGGGAATGCTGGGAGTTCATTACACCATTCTCCCACTTTTGTATATCCTTGAAATCTTCCAATATACAAAGTTTTTTGGGGGTATCTGGGTGGCTCAGTCAATTGAGCACTGGACTTCAGCTCAGGTCATGAACTCACAGCTCATGAGTTTGAGCCCCACTTTGGGCTCTGTGCTGACAGCTCAGAGCCTGGATGGAGCCTGCTCTGGGTTATGTGTCTCCATCTCTCTCTTGTGCTCTGTCCCTTTCTCTCTCAAAAATAAATATTAAAAAAAAGTTTTTAAAAATGTTTACTGTCTATTTATGTATACATAGAGAGAAAAAGAGAGAGAAAGCAGTGAAGGGGTAGAGAAAGAGAGGGAGAGGATCCCAAGCAGGCTCCACACTGTCAGCACAGAGCATGACATGGGGCTCAGACCCACAAACCACGAGATCACAGCCTGAGCCAAAATCAACAGTCAGATGCTTAACTGAGCCACCCAGGCACTTCTCTTCCAATACAAAAAGTTTTAAATGTTTACATTACTTAAAAAAAATTTAATAACACTGTAAGAAAAAAACTAGCAAAATCAGACCTGCAAAGATTTTACATACTGGAATAACCAGTCACACTGAAAATTAGTTTGAAATATACTGGAAATTAATTTCATTTACAAAGAATCTCAGTAAGTCCCACCTTCAAAAAAAAGAGGCTTGAGATGGCCTTTAAATATACATGAAGACTGAGGAAAGGGCATGTAGGCACTTAAAATTTATAACCACGTTTTCTGGTGTTGTAACATGTATTTAACTTGTATTTTGACTCCCATTATTATCTTGGCAGTCTAATCCCAAAGCTCTTTCTGTCTCTCTCACTGTCTACCTCACACACACTGAATGTGATATTTCAGGAGCTAGACAACAGGATTTTGTGACATGTCTGCAAACAAAAACCAGAAATCACCACTGTGGAAATGACAAACCACTCAGCAATATCGAAACAAATATTCTATAAAATATAAACTTTTAATTTTTTAGATTAATTGATATTAAAGGTCATTTTATTTATGATGTAACTATAAATTACATCTGCTTAGCCTTTCCTGACCTCTAGCCCCATTTGTCCAACAGCCTAAGAGACATACGCGTGTGAACATGTCATAATCACCTCAGACACATCACCAGTTTTCTCTATTATTCTGTATACAGGGGAAGGGCAATCCCAGCCACCCAATCACCAAGACAGACACTGGGAGTCAACCGCAGCACTTCCTCTCCCTCTCCCTTCACATCCTATCGATTCTATCCCAAATCCCGTCACTTCCACCTCTTGTATATTTCTTAGTCCTGTACCCTTCTCTCTCTTTCTTCCTAACACAGACTTTGTGCCGACTCACGGTTTCGTACCTATACAGCTATCTGTAAACCTCCCACAGCTAGCTTTTAAACTGGTCCCCTGCCTCCAGCCTTCCTCTACTTGAATCTAGTTGGTTTGCTGAAATATTCAATAAACATCTGGTTAGGGCCCACTCTGTGAAGTTCTGTAGACAGTTCCTTCAAGGGACACAAAGATGAGTAAGACAGTTCCTGCCACTGAGGGGCCTACAGTCTAAAGGAGGGAGACTACTGTCCATGGTGGGAAGGACTCTGGCATCAGACAAACTCTGGTTCAAAATGTCAGTTGTGCTACTTCCTGGCTGTAGGACTTTGGTTCAAGTCTCTCTTGCTCAGTCTCCCTGGGCCTTGTTTCTTCATCTCTAAAATGGAGATACTCATGCCCACTCTCCATGGCTGTTTCAGAATTAGAAAACACGCAAACGTCTGCCTCATAACAGATACGCAGCACAGCAGATAGTGCCTAGTATTGTTAGTTTACTTACGCACTTAATAGAATCAGATTTTCTCAACGAGGCTTAAAATCATTAGTTTTTTCTAATTTAATAATTTTACCTTGTAGACGTGACTATCTATTGCACAGCAAATGTAATACAGTCCCATTAATGTAAAACTCTTTTTGTATAACTCAAGGAGGCAATTTCATAAAGCAGTTAAGAATATGTGCTCTGAGCCAAACAGACCTAGATTTCAATCATCTTAGTCACCTGTGAGCTGTGTGATTTGGCCAAATCACTTACTTTTACTCCAACCGCTTAACCTTTGACTTCAGTTTCTTCATCTATAAAACTGGATGAACATGAAGCTTTTTCAAAGGGTTGGCAAAGTGATTAGCACAGTGTCTGGTACATAGGAAGCAGCTGATAAATGTTATCAGAAAATGATATCTGGATGACTGCTCACCAAAATGGTTTTCTCCAGATGGCTGGATTTCAGCAGTTATTTATTTTGCTCATTACATTCTTCTGTATTGCTTGAATTTCTTTTCTTTTTTTACTCCAGGCATATGTAATTTTTATAAAAGCTACAATAAGGTTCTCATAAAATTTACCTTCTGAATTCAAGAGTTCTGGTTTCATCTTTCCAGTACCACATTCCCAATCGTAATCCCAATTGCTGTAAAATGAAATGATAGCAGCAAACATAATTAAAAATTCAATTTACATACGCAGGTCATAATGAGCTTTTAACAATTCCCACTAGCCGCTCTTTATTCAATAAGGATGTAGAATCTTCAAGTGTTGCAGGGTTTGTTTTTAACTTGAAACCAGGCTTTTATCCATTTTGTTTTCAGGTGTAGTTTCAGTAGAAAAGATGAATGAGGGAAAGAGGAGGAGAAGGAAGGGAAGGAAGGAAACTTCTCTAAGCCTGCACTACTATCTCAAGGCTCATCATAGCAATTTACGATGAACTGGGACTCAGGCCACAATAAACTGATGCCCAGCGCGGCCTCAGCAGAGGAGAGGAGTTAAGACCCTCATAACAGGGGAACCTGCTCTAACCGACCCCGCCCAGAGGAAGTGGGCAAGGAACCAGCTTACTTTTTCAGCAGTGGTAGCTCCCAGCCCACCAGCCTTTTCTTTCCGCGGATCGCACCCCCAGCAGGACAGCTTCCTGCGCAGGAAGGCTATTTATTTTACAACCAACAAATTAGAGGTGGTGAGGTGGAACTTTCATAAACCTCTAAACATCCCGGTAAGGAGCCAGAATTCAATTCTGCCCTTTAGCCGAGTACACCTCCATAGTTTCGGTTTCGTAGGCAAAAATGCCCACATCTCTGAGTGCCGCCGGGTCGGGGCTGAGGGGCAGGGGGGCGCGCCGGGAGCCGAGGGCCGGGAGGAGGCGGCAGGGCCGGCCCTGCCTCTGCCTCGGGGGCGGGGGCGACCAAGACTGCGCTTACCTCCGCCAAGGAAGCCCCCTGTCCTTCTATCCGCTTCCTCCGGGGATAAAACTCCGGCACCGACATCTGATGCATGATCTCTCGAAACCAACCTCTCAGGGTCACCCAGGCAACAGCGCGCCAGCGCGGGGCAAACGAGACCGCGGGGCGTAGGGCGTAGGGGGGCGGGGACATGCTTCGACCGCCGGCTGCGCGGCGCCGACGCGCGGGCAGAGACGCGCCGGGGCCCCGAGGCTGCGCACGCGGGGCGGGGGGCGCCTCCGCCGGGCCCGGCTCTTGCGGGGCTCCGTCAACTCTCTGACTACCTTTGCTGGGGCGGCTCGTTTGCATTTTCGTGCTGAAGCCGCCCGGGGGTTATTTCCGATTCTTCCCGGCCTTCCAACTGTGAAGTAAACCCTTCGTAATTGGAATTGTTCGTAATTGGAATACCAAGATCAGTTCCATAGGGAAGATGCCTTTGTCGCGAACATTAATAGCACTAAACTCCAAATCCAGGCTGGGATTAGGTCGATGGGGGTGTCGGGGAGGTTCAGGGAAGGATGCGTGGAAATACGGTTTCTTAACTTGGTTCCGCTGCATAACTAGATGGGTTTGTCCAGGACAAGGCAACTCTGAACCTCTGTCCGAAGATACCCAGATCAGGAGTTAGGAGGATGTTTAAGGAGTAATGTGTATAAAGCACCCCCTCCCTTCCGTGCAACCCACCCTTCCGTGCTCTAAATTAGTGTCGCCCTAAGAAACGAAACTTGGTTTGTGTCAATGAGTGTTCAATTACATTTTTACATGTCGCTTTTCACTTTTTCTTTTTCTTTTTTTTTTACAATTAGTTTATGGTCAAGTTGGTTTCCATATAACACCCAGTGCTCATGCTTTTCACTTTTCAAATCATGTCTTGTAATTCCTTCTTTAACTAAGTAGATATGCAGACTTTGGTATTTCTTTTCCCCTCCAACGCTGATGTAAGCAATGCTAGATATCGCTACATGATTGAGAACGCCTAATATCTTCTGCCTTGGTTTTATCCCCATAGCCTAGTAAGGTAAAGAGATGCTCAGGAAATAGTTGGTAACTATACTCCCATACATTTAAAAAATAGGGGAGTAGTCAACCCACTGCTTTCCCTTACCTCACCCTCCCACTCTCACTACCTGATAACACACAATCACTGGTTACAGTGGTATAAAATTGTAATCAGCTAGATTCATGGTCCACTCCAGTCCACTGCTGTTCACATTGTATGGAAACCCACCTATCCCCCGGCAGTGGGGCTTTGAGGCTGTGGCCTCAGGACTGGCCTATTACATACATGAATGGCTCACTTGAAATAGGAGTAAGAATATCCCAGTTACCAAGAGTTTTTCACCTAACAATGTATGTAACTTGGGGTGGGGAGGACATTATGAGCTGAAGCTCCACATGACTGAGAGACACCAAGGACTCTGCGTAGAATCCATTCACCACACAACCAGTATCAGAAAGACCACACTTCAGTCAACCTCTTTGGTTTATCCCAGTGAATGAAGAAATGCAAACAGACAACCAAAGACCTTTTATACTTCACCATAGATTAACTTCAAGCTCTCTAAGGTACAAAACTAAGGTAAAAAAATGAGTTGCGAACTCCAATGATCTACATAAAAAGAGCATGACAAAAACAATTTTCCCTTTAAAAAAAAAACTCATGATGTTATAAAGAAGGGACAAAGGTACCATTCTAAATATATATAACAGTTTCAAGTGTCCTGTGAGGGAAAGATTTTTGTTTGGTTTTGTATTTGCCTAATGAAGAGAAACTTCTCAAGGTCATGTAACTAAGAGCATATAAGATAGAACTAAATTGCTGATCTCAGATTTTAGGCCCAAGACATTAACTGAATATAAAGTATGCTTATATATGAAAAAGTCATACTGGAGAGATTTTCCGGGTAGTATAATTCTACCTTTAAAAACTAACCTGTAAGGGGCGCCTGGATGGCTCAGTTGGCTGAGCATCTGACTTTTGATTTCAGCTTAGGTCTTGATCCTAGGGTGGTGGGATCGAGCCCACTTTGGGCTCTGCACCAAGTATGGAGCCTGCTTAAGATGATCTCTCTTCCTCTGCCCCTCTCCCTTCTTCTCTAAAAAAAAAAAAGAGAGAGAGATTTTTGGGATACCTTGGGGGCTCTTCCAGCTTCAGCTCAGGTCATGTCTCAGTTTGTGAGTCTGAGCTCCACGTTGGGCTCTGTGCTGACAGCTCAGAGCCTGGAGCCTGCTTCAGATTCTGCCTCCCTCTCCCTTTCTGCCCCTCCCCCTACTTGTGCTCACATGCTCTCTCTCTCTCAAAAATAAACATTAAATAAATAAAAACTAAATGTAAAAAAATAGCAATAGTACTTGAATATCAACTCCATTTTAGGTTGCTTAGTTCCCCAATCTTCAATTCATAAACAACCTAAACTAGAGAAGCCTATAGCTTTTTAATTTGTTCTAAGGGAAATACATTTCAACATTAAGCATCACCCCATTAAATCTCAGAAGTGCATATACCCTAAAGTATTCCAAGAGCTATCTCAAGAATAAATATTGGGCTCTTTTTCTAAGATCCAAAATTTTAAAGGAATGTATCAATTTTTCTGTATCTAATTTTAATGCTTAAGGAAAATCCTTCAAAACAGTTTTCTCATTCCTATTTCGACATTTTACAGAAGCAATTGAATATTTCTATTGTTCCTTAACCTAAACATATATATTGCCTTAGCAATTGTCTTGTGATGTATGGATTTGAGATTCTTTACAACTTTAATTCCAGTGTCCAAAAGCAAGGGGAACATGCCTCATGGCACTTTTATAAACTACATTCAATTCATAGGATAAAAGTCTCCCTGACATAATCATACAGGTGATACATTAAATATCCTATTATGCATGCTAAGTTTAAAGATGTGAACACCTGGGGCGCCTGGGTGGCTTAGTCGGTTAAGCGTCCGACTTTCTCTTAGGTCATGATCTCGCGGTTCGTGGGTTCGAGCCCCGCGTTGGGCTCTGTGCTGACTGCCAGCTCAGAGCCTGGAGCCTGTTTCAGTCTGTGACTCCCTCTCTCTCTGACCCTCCCCTGCTCACGCTGTCTCTCTCTCTCTCTCTTCTAAAAAAAAAAAAAAAAAAAAAAAAAAAAAAAAAAAAAAAAAAAAGATGTGAACACCTAAATTAATACCTCCTCATGAGGGTGCCTGGGTAGCTGGGTTGGTTAAAAGCATCCAACTCTTGATTTCAGCTCAGGTTGTGATCTCGGGGTTATGATCTTGTGGTCGATCATGGGATCCAGCCATTCCTCAAGCTTTGTGCAGAGCATGGAGCCTACTTGGGATTCTCTCTCTGTGCCCCTCCACCCCCCCCAAATGAACTTAAAAAAAATCTCATGAACAACTGTTAATTACCACTATACACATCAAACTAATGCAATAAAAAAAATTTAGAGTAAGCTTGTTTTGAAATTTCATGCATCTCAAATACTGTAAACAACCTGCTAGGTCTTATTTTGAAAGGTGTTTAGACTTATTGCTGTAAAACAGGAACTATATTAGACCTTCAGGTAAGAATTTAAGTGCCCATTTGAGAAATGTTCCTTTTTAATCCTTTAGAATTCTATATGTATTGCATTAGCCTTAGTCATGACTAGTTCCTAGTGTAACACTACTTTCAAGGTCAAGTGATGCTAATTATTCCTTAAACTGTAATTTAGCCTCATCCTAACATCAAGTACTTTTTCCATTGTCATTTGACTATGGCTGATCTAACATCTCCTAAGGAGTTCCCAGGAGTTATCCAATTACCAGTTTCAAATGACCGATGGAAACACTGAATGGCTACTTTGGTGGCTTTATCTTTGCAGTATTCAGATCTAGATAAATTTGAGAAGACAAAATTAAAAACACTCAAGAAGGCTGGGAGTTTTACAAATTACTGTTCAGAAAAACAGAAAATGCAGTATCTGCATACTGGTATTTGTGTTATAGCAAGTTACCAGAGGCCACACCACAGGATAGTCAAAGAAACTACCATTGGCCATTTTTTTCTGATACTTTAGAAACAAATCTCTTCTAAAGAAAGGTCTAAAATGAAACATACTATTACCAAATTGTATTTCTGCACTTATAGAATGATTCCATTATATTTTGAAGTTAGAACAAGGGATAAATGCTTCCAATAAATAAAGGACTAATAAAAGGTTAACACAATGAGCATTATTGGTAGAAATTCATGTTAAACATCACTCTATTGGGGCGCCTGGGTGGTTCAGTCGGTTAAGCGACCGACTTTGGCTCAGGTCATGATCTCACAGTTTGTGGGTTCGAGCACCGTGTCAGGCTCTGTGCTGACAGCTAGCTCAGAGTCTGGAGCCTGCTTCAGATTCTGTATCTCCCTCTCTCTCTGACCTCATCTCTGCTCACGCTGTCTCTCAGAAATAAAACATTAAAAACAATTTAAAAAAAAAAATCACTCTTTTGCTAGCTAGTATTCACCTGATTCTGTTAGTACTAAAGTAGTTTGTTAAATATTTATGTGATGCTCTTTGTAGTTAATTACTCTTACTGCCTTCCTTGCTGAAAACTTTCCACTAACATGGTATTAGCATCACAACATCTGAGTTATCAGCTTTTCAGTGTAAAGAGTAATTACCTTAAACACTTTTTAAGTTTATTTTGGAAACAATTTCAATATTGCCTTTTTATTCCATCCACTCAAATGACTTTGCTTAAAAAATAAAGACTTAATGTACATATGAGTCAGCTCTTGTAGGTGAGGGTTATTACAAAGCTCAACATTTTTAGGCTAATTTGTGCTGTAGTTTTTATATTTAAAAAATTAATCTCTCTGCATGATACAGAAGGGTCCACTACTAAAAATATAGTTTCTATAATTCACTGTTATCTTATGAACAACATGGAGCAAATCTACATCACTTGAAAAGAGATACTGAAGTGTCTACATGTGGTGAAAACATTAGGTTAACTGTATTTTCCAATCAGCTTTACTGAATTTCTCCCAAGTTCCCCTTAAAGACAATAGAACAGAGCAGAAGTGTCATTCCACTAAAAAATACAAATAAGAACCCCCTTCTCCT